TCAGGAGGGTTATTAAGACCTATCAACCTCTGGAGGGTTATTAAGGCCTATCAACCTCAGGAGGGTTATTAAGGCCTATCAACCTCAGGAGGGTTATTAAGGCCTATCAACCTCTGGAGGGTTATTAAGGCCTATCAACCTCTGGAGGGTTATTAAGGCCTATCAACTTAAGGAGGGTTATTAAGACCTATCAACCTCTGGAGGGTTATTAAGGCCTATCAACCTCTGGAGGGTTATTAAGGCCTATCAACCTCAGGAGGGTTATTAAGGCCTATCAACCTCTGGAGGGTTATTAAGGCCTATCAACCTCTGTAGGGTTATTAAGGCCAATCAACCTCTGGAGGATTATTATGACTTAACAAACTCTGGGAGGTTATTAAAACAACCCACAATGGCTTAATAACTAACCAGCAAGACAACCTTAATGACTTAATCCTGAACTATGTCCAGGACTACAGTATATTCTGTATATACACCGAGAAGGAGAAAATGCATCTTGCTGAATATATTCCCAAATGTATCAGAGGCTAATAATTTAAATCAAATGACCGATTATCGTGTTAACAATTTCTGTTATAAATATTTTTTTCCTTTATATGTAAATGTCTAACTTATTTATAATGTTTGTGTTTTGTATATTGTAAACTTTTGGTAAATAACGAATAACCAATCACAACTGACAACGGATACAACTACGGGATAAAATTGTCTAAATGTCGTTTGTAATGACTCACAAATCAATACGAAAAAATATATATTTTTTTAGCATAGTTAGCCACTAAAATTCCATTTGGAAATCAACAATAATTTTTAACGTTAGCCACTTAAATTCCATTTGGAAAGTAGCTTATGAAAAACGACCTGATGTTTATGGAACTCATTTGGTGTGCAAGAGAGAGAGCAATAACAGCATTTACGGACTGTCACCAGGCATTTCGATACCATTAACTGCTCGCCAAGGTCGGTCCTAATAGGCACTTCGGCTTGTAACTGCGGCCCCATTAACAGCCTCATCATTTAATGGAACAATATTTGAACGGATTTTATGATTTTTTTTCTTTTGGATTTAACATAAATTAGGTCTGTTCTGTGGCTGGTGAGTTTAAGTATACTCTTTGCTATCATGAGCGAATTATGAACCGAATTTGCATAGAAAGCAAATGTTTTGCACGTTCAAAGGCAATTCCTTATTGTTTGTAAATTCTCTTCGTGTATCTGTAGAGAACGGTAGTTTGTGAGTTTGTTAGACTGGATGTTGGTCGGCCTTAATGGGTTATTCTGTGTGTTAGAGATTGTTAGTGGATGAATGCGTTAGCCAGTTAATTGTGTGATAGTGAAAGAGTTTGTTTCAAAGGCAATACACTATACAGAAAAAAGTAATGGGAAACTAGAACGAACACACACACACACACACACACACACACACACACACACACACACACACACACACACACACACACACACACACACACACACACACACACACTTGGAGCACTCTGACACAGTCCATAAACTGTGTCAGCGAGGCGGACAGCGCGTCAGAATAATTCTCCTCACGACTTAGTGGGTTTACAAGATTGTTTTGGACCAGTTCTTCTATTACCAATCTTCAACCTCTCTCTCATTCCTCTTTTCTCATCAATTAAAAAAAATTATCTCTCACCTATCTCACTCCTCATCTGTCCTTGTCTTCCTTCCCTATCTCTACTATCCTATCCCTATTTTCCCCTCACCTTCCCCTAGATTCCCTAGATTCCCTACCCACTCCTTGCCTCATGTTCCACCCCTTCCTATGTCACATTACATCACCTACACTTTCCCATCACCTCTCCCATCTGGCCTCCCCTCTCGTTTCTAAATTAAGTCCAAGAAGCAAATTTCTCGTGAATGAGACTTTATACAACTCAGACTTAAGTCATCACTAGGTATTGTAAGTGAAGACTTAGAGCTGTACCCGAGGCAACTTGGGAGCTTCCTTGTGGTAACTTAGTGAGGGAGTGGGGGGGTCTTTGGGGACTTAGCTGGGGGGGGGGGGTGAGGATGGGGGATTTGGCCATGAATGGTTAGTGATATGGTGATGTATTCCTAGGAATGTAGGAATACATCATACATTTCCTGAGGCTCTAGGAATACATCATACATTTCCAAAGGCTCTATGGATACATCATACATTTTCTATGAATACATCATACATTTCCTAAGAACCTAGGAAAGTGATGACTTTCTAGCTATCTAGTGATGTGCTCGTAGCTATCTAGACGTGTGTCTGTACAGATTCAAAGCTGCAAAGTTTGAAAAGCCTTAGAGTAGAGTTTTCTGTTAACCACTCCTGGGCTTAGGAACAGCTCCCTGGAAACACAAACCGAAACTGTCTCTATTTTCCGCTTGTTACAACTTGTAATAAAGTTGTTACATCTTGGCTTAACGTGTTTGTGACGTATTAGAACGTTGTTACAACTTAATATATTGGTTGTTATAACTGGTTAGGTGGTGTTAAAACTTGTTCGAACGTTGTACCAACGTCGTAGTTTCGGTGTGTGTTTGGTGGGAGCGCGCTCCAATGTGGCGGGCCAAATGCCCTCATCTGAGTTATTTTTTAATGTCTTGACGAGAAAAAATAATTGTAATAATTTTTATATTTTATATAAAAAAATAATTGTAATAAATAATTGTAATAATTGTAATAATTGTATAATATATAGTATAATATATATATAGAAAAAATAATTGTAATAATTGTATAATTTGTAATTGGTCAGTGAACACATCTGTGATTTCTGTTAAAAAAAATCTAGACTAAATTCGTTGACATCCAGACGCATCAAATTTAAATAACACCTTAAGCAACGAAGCAAACAGTGTGGGAGAGATGGAACGGTGTAGGAGGGGAAAGGAACGGCGTAGGAGGGGGATGGAACAGTGTAGGAGGGGAAAGGAACGGTGTAGGAGGGGAAAGGAACGGTGTAGGAGGGGGATGGAACAGTGTAGGAGGGGAAAGGAACGGTGTAGGAGGGGAAAGGAACGGTGTAGGAGGGGAAAGGAACAGTGTAGGAGGGGAAGGAACGGTGTAGGAGGGGAAAGGAACGGTGTAGGAGGGGAAAGGAACGGTGTAGGAGGAGAAAGGAACGGTGTAGGGGGGGGGCAAGGAACAGTGTAGGAGGGATGGAACAGTATAGGAGGGAAAGGAACAGTATAGGAGGGGAAAGGAACGGTGTAGGGGGGGCAAGGAACGGTGTAGGGGGGGCAAGGAACGGTGTAGGAGGGGCAAGGAACAGTGTAGGAAGGGAAAGGAACGGTGTAGGAGGGGAAAGGAACGGTGTAGGGGGGGCAAGGAACAGTGTAGGAGGGGAAAGGAACGGTGTAGGGGGGGCAAGGAACAGTATAGGAGGGGAAAGGAACGGTGTAGGGGGGCAAGGAACGGTGTAGGGGGGGCAAGGAACGGCGTAGGAGGGGCAAGGAACAGTGTAGGAGGGGAAAGGAACGGTGTAGGAGGGATGGAACAGTGTAGGAGGGGAAGGAACGGTGTAGGGGGGGCAAGGAACGGTGTAGGGGGGGCAAGGAACGGTGTAGGGGGGGCAAGGAACGGTATAGGAGGGGAAAGGAACGGTATATGTAAGGGAAAGGAACAGCTAGATATATACACACAGCCGCTGTACCATTTTCTAGTACGACAATTTTGTCGCCTTAAGTAACGCATTCGAGCGAAAAGCGACGTTCTATGCATGAGGACAGGTTGCCGGGGTGAGACCCGACGTGCGCCTCAATCCAACCACTTGGGCTGGACGGTAGAGCGACGGAGGACAGGTTGCCGGGGTGAGACCCGACGTGCGCTTCAATCCAACCACTTGGGCTGAACGGTAGAGCGACGGTCTCGCTTCATGCAGGTCGGCGTTCAATCCCCGAAGTGGTTGGACACCATTCCTTTCCCCCCCGTCCCATCCCGAATTCTTATCCTGACCCCTTCCCAGTGCTATATAGTCGTAATGGCTTGGCGCTTTCTCCTGATAGTTCCCTTCCTTTTAAAAGTATGATCCAACCACGGATATGAATCATACTAATCATACCGTCGGCCGGTCGGTATGGTCAGGGAGCCGGTCGGCCGAGCGGACAGCACGCTGGACTATGATCCTGTGGTCCTGGGTTCGATCCCAGGCGCCGGCGAGAAACAATGGGCAGAGTTTCTTTCACCCTATGCCCCTGTTACCTAGCAGTAAAATAGGTACCTGGGTGTTAGTCAGCTGTCATGGGCTGCTTCCTGGGGGTGGAGGCCTGGTCGAGGACCGGGCCGCGGGGACACTAAAACCCCGAAATCATCTCAAGATAACCTCAAGATATACCGTGGTATGACTGGTATGATGCAACCATCGAGGCTCATCTTAAAGGACAGTAGACATGCGTGTCACATAACGAAAAAAAGTCAACGCTGGAAATAAACTATTCCCGTTTTGCAGCTTCGTCTGCAATGTCATTTCCTATTATTCCCACATGACTTGGCACCCAGTTGATACTATTTAGTAGATACTAAATTTATAGATATTTTGGATAGATATTTTATTTTTAGATATTCTTAGATATTTTAGATAGATACCCAGGACCGTTAGGTCCTGGGTATTGTTATTTTGAGGTTATCATGAAATGATTTCGGGGCTTACCGTCCCCGCGGCCCGGTCCTCGACCAGGCCTCCTTTTTTTGCTACACACCCCCAGGAAGCAGTCCGTAGCAGCTGTCTAACTCCCAGGTACCTATTTACTACTAGGTGAACAGGCGCATCGAGGGGTGAAAGAAACTCGGCCCCATTTGTTTCCGCCTCCACTCGGGATCGAACCCGGAATCTACGAATCCGAAGCGCTGTCCACTCAGCCACATCTTCCTCGTGAGATTGTTTCTGGTAAGAGAGAGCTTTTGGGAGTGTTCTACTAGACGCTAATGTGACCTTCGTTCGAGGCTAATAATCGCGTTTATAACCCAACCAGCCACGAGGCTACTGAACGAAGTATGATTATTGTTGATACTGAGTGCTGTATGGTTGATGCTGAGTGCTGTATGGTTGATGCTGAATGCTGTATGGTTGATGCTGAGTGCTGTATGGTTGATGCTGAGTGCTGTATGGTTGATGCTGAGTGCTGTATGGTTGATGCCGAGTGCTGTATGGTTGATGCTGAGTGCTGTATGGTTGATGCTGAGTGCTGTATGGTTGATGCTGAGTGCTGTATGGTTGATGCTGAGTGCTGTATGGTTGATGCTGAGTGCTGTATGGTTGATGCTGAGTGCTGTATGGTTGATGCTGAGTGCTGTATGGTTGATGCTGAGTGCTGTATGGTTGATGCTGAGTGCTGTATGGTTGATGCTGAGTGCTGTATGGTTGATGCTGAGTGCTGTATGGTTGATGCTGAGTGCTGTATGGTTGATGCTGAGTGCTGTATGGTTGATGCTGAGTGCTGTATGGTTGATGCTGAGTGCTGTATGGTTGATGCTGAGTGCTGTATGGCTGATGCTGAGTGCTGTATGGCTGATGCTGAGTGATGTATGGCTGATGCTGAGTGATGTATGGCTGATGCTGAGTGCTGTATGGCTGATACTGAGTGCTGTATGGTTGATGCTGAGTGCTGTATGGTTGATGCTGAATGCTGTATGGTTGATGCTGAGTGCTGTATGGTTGATGCTGAGTGCTGTATGGTTGATGCTGAGTGCTGTATGGTTGATGCTGAGTGCTGTATGGTTGATGCCGAGTGCTGTATGGTTGATGCTGAGTGCTGTATGGTTGATGCTGAGTGCTGTATGGTTGATGCTGAGTGCTGTATGGTTGATGCTGAGTGCTGTATGGTTGATGCTGAGTGCTGTATGGTTGATGCTGAGTGCTGTATGGTTGATGCTGAGTGCTGTATGGTTGATGCTGAGTGCTGTATGGTTGATGCTGAGTGCTGTATGGTTGATGCTGAGTGCTGTATGGTTGATGCTGAGTGCTGTATGGTTGATGCTGAGTGCTGTATGGTTGATGCTGAGTGCTGTATGGTTGATGCTGAGTGCTGTATGGTTGATGCTGATTGCTGTATGGCTGATGCTGAGTGCTGTATGGCTGATGCTGAGTGATGTATGGCTGATGCTGAGTGCTGTATGGCTGATGCTGAGTGCTGTATGGCTGATGCTGAGTGCTGTATGGCTGATGCTGAGTGCTGTATGGCTGATGCTGAGTGCTGTATGGCTGATGCTGAGTGCTGTATGGTTGATGCTGAGTGCTGTATGGTTGATGCTGAGTGGTATATGGCTGATGCTGAGTGGTATATGGCTGATGCTGAGTGGTATATGGCTGATGCTGAGTGGTATATGGCTGATGCTGAGGGCAATATGGCTGATGCTGAGGGCAATATGGCTGATGCTGAGGGCAATATGGCTGATGCTGAGGGCAATATGGCTGATGCTGAGTGCTATATGGCTGATGCTGAGGGCAATATGACTGATGCTGAGTGCTATATGGTTGATGGTGAGTGCTATATGAGGCTATGGTTGCTAGGGGAGTTTGGTTGCTAGGTGCTAGGTGATTACAATAGGTATGCAAGAGGCTCGGACAGTCATCATCCCTCCCCCACTTCCATATTGCAGGATTAAAGAATTGTTGCATATGTACGTGCAGTGTTTTGCATAGCTGTTTGGGAGCCATTTCTTTCTCTGTGTTACTCTTGCGCACACACACACACACACACACACTGGTTCTCTCTCTTTATACCTCTTTTGCTCATTGTGTCTCTTTGCCTCTTTCTCTTTTGTTTTTATACCTCTCTTCCTTAGCGTCTCTCTCTCTCTCTCGTCGTATCTCTCTCTCTCTCTCTCTCACTCTCTCACAGGCTCTACCTCATCTGTCTGTAGGCCTCTCACTCTCTATGCCTCTCCACATTCCTCTATGCCTCCCTCTTTTCCCACGCTCTTCTATGCCTCTCTCTCTAAACTATGACAAGAGGGGTCATTACGAATGATGCTGATACAGCTAATGAAACGTGTAGCAAAGATGTGTTCTTCCACACCTGCTCATCTTAAAGCCTGCTGATCCCTACGTACTCATTGAATGAGCTTAAAATTAGTTTTCCATAAACAAATTGTATTTGATATTAGGTTCTTATCAGTGGTATGACATAAGGCTGTGTGCCAGAGCCTTAAGGTGCTCTGTTGACTTATTTTTTCGCGCGTGTGAGTGTTGGGTAAATGTTTCTACTGCAGATTAGTGTAGGAATGAATGATAGGGAGGTTGTTCTTGAAAGAAGGGGAGGGATTGTTCTTGAGAGAGAGGAGATTGTTCTTGAGAGGGAGGGATTGTTCTTGAGAGAGAGGAGATTGTTCTTGAGAGGGAGGGATTGTTCTTGAGAGGGAGGGATTGTTCTTGAGAGAGAGGAGATTGTTCTTGAGAGGGAGGGATTGTTCTTGAGAGAGAGGAGATTGTTCTTGAGAGAGAGGGAGGGATTGTTCTTGAGAGAGAGGAGATTGTTCTTGAGAGGGAGGGATTGTTCTTGAGAGAGAGGAGATTGTTCTTGAGAGGGAGGGATTGTTCTTGAGAGGGAGGGATTGTTCTTGAGAGAGAGGAGATTGTTCTTGAGAGGGAGGGAGGGATTGTTCTTGAGAGAGAGGAGATTGTTCTTGAGAGGGAGGGATTGTTCTTGAGAGAGAGGAGATTGTTCTTGAGAGAGAGGGAGGGATTGTTCTTGAGAGGGAGGGATTGTTCTTGAGAGAGAGAGAGGATTGTTCTTGAGAGAGAGGAGAGGGATTGTTCTTGAGAGAGAGGAGATTGTTCTTGAGAGGGAGGGATTGTTCTTGAGAGAGAGGAGATTGTTCTTGAGAGGGAGGGATTGTTCTTGAGAGGGAGGGATTGTTCTTGAGAGAGAGGAGATTGTTCTTGAGAGGGAGGGATTGTTCTTGAGAGGGAGGGATTGTTCTTGAGAGAGAGGAGATTGTTCTTGAGAGGGAGGGATTGTTCTTGAGAGAGAGGAGATTGTTCTTGAGAGAGAGGGAGGGATTGTTCTTGAGAGGGAGGAGATTGTTCTTGAGAGGGAGGGATTGTTCTTGAGAGGGAGGGATTGTTCTTGAGAGAGAGGAGATTGTTCTTGAGAGGGAGGGATTGTTCTTGAGAGAGAGGAGATTGTTCTTGAGAGAGAGGGAGGGATTGTTCTTGAGAGAGAGAGGATTGTTCTTGAGAGAGAGGAGAGGGATTGTTCTTGAGAGAGAGGAGATTGTTCTTGAGAGAGAGGGAGGGATTGTTCTTGAGAGAGAGGGAGGGATTGTTCTTGAGAGAGAGGGAGGGATTGTTCTTGAGAGAGAGGGAGGGATTGTTCTTGAGAGAGAGAGAGGAGATTGTTCTTGAGAGAGAGGGAGGGATTGTTCTTGAGAGAGAGGAGATTGTTCTTGAGAGAGAGGGAGGGATTGTTCTTGAGAGAGAGAAGGAGGGATTGTTCTTGAGAGAGAGGAGATTGTTCTTGAGAGAGAGGGAGGGATTGTTCTTGAGAGAGAGAGGGAGGGATTGTTCTTGAGAGAGAGGAGATTGTTCTTGAGAGAGAGGGAGGGATTGTTCTTGAGAGAGAGGGAGGGATTGTTCTTGAGAGAGAGGAGATTGTTCTTGAGAGAGAGAGGGAGGGATTGTTCTTGAGAGAGGGAGGGATTGTTCTTGAGAGAGGGAGGGATTGTTCTTGAGAGAGAGAGGAGATTGTTCTTGAGAGAGAGAGGAGATTGTTCTTGAGAGAGAGAGGGATTGTTCTTGAGAGAGAAGCGTTATACCAACATGATGGCTGAGCGTCTTGAGTTGTGACCGCCCCCTTCTGGCGTTTCTCTCTTCTCTCCTCTCTTCTGTCTCTTTCCTCTGTCTTTCCCCTCTCTTCCCCCCCCCCCCGTCTCTCTGTCCCACCCCTTCCCATCCTCTCCACAATACAAATAAAAACATACAAATTCACATAGAAAAATAACAATACTGGATATAAAAGATATCAAACTTCGACTATTCTCGATCTTGCAAAATTGTATCACAATTCACGAAAGAAAAACGAAACAAAAAATACACAAGAAAAAATGCACAAAAAAAAGACAAAAAAGCAATTAACAATGGAACGACACAGAGCAAAACCTGAGGATAATTCCGTTTGTGTGTGGGGGGGGGGGGGGAGGAGGGGAATATATATTATATATATATATATATATATATATATATATATATATATATATACTATATATATATATATATATATATGTCGTACCTAATAGCCAGAACGCACTTCTCAGCCTACTATTCAAGGCCCGATTTGGCCTAATAAGCCAAGTTTTCAATGATTAATGTTTTTTCGTCTACCTAACCTACCTAACCTAACCTAACCTAGCTTTTTTTGGCTACCTAACCTAACCTTACCTATAATATAGGTTAGGTTAGGTTAGGTAGGGTTGGTTAGGTTCGGTCATATATCAACGTTAATTTTAACTCCAAAAAAAAAAATTGACCTCATACATAGAGAAAAGGGTAGCTTTATCATTTCATATAGAAAAAAATTATAGTAAATATATTCAGGAAAACTTGGCTTATTAAGCAAATCGGGCCTTGAATAGTAGGCTGAGAGAGTGAGTTCTGGCTACTAGGTACGACATATATATATATATATATATATCTATATATATTATTATATTTATATATATATATCTATATATATATATATATATTATATATATATATATTAATATATAGATATATTATAATATAGAGCGTATATCAAAGTGTTCAGTGAGGATCCACAAGGTTCTTCTCTGAGTACTCTATATTTTCTTCTCCGAGGCTATGAGTCCCTACACCTGGCACCAGAGTTGGTACCCCCTTCTGGGTTATATATTAAAGCGACCAAAATAAAATACCTCGACGAAGTTCCTGGGAAAAATACAAGGTGCAGATGCCTGGTCTTAGACCATCCTGGGAACTGTGAGGGTCCAGATGGTGCTGTTTATAGAGGGAGAGGGGGGGGTGAGGGAGAGAAAGGGGGTGGGGTGAGGGAGAGAAAGGGGGGGGGGGGAGGGAGAGAAAGGGGGGGGGTGAGGGAGATAAAAGGGGGGTTAAGGGAGAGAAGGGGTGGGGGGGTGAGTGAGAGAAAGGAGAGAGTGGAGGGAGAGAAAGTGGGGATGGAGGGAAAAACAGCCACAGACAGACAGATGACAGACAGACATAAACACAACTAGACAGACACAGACGGACAGCAAGACAGCGGCTGGCCAGAGAGATTCGCCGGACATTCTCCAGTCAACGAATTCTTCTACCAATGCATAACAAGTATACGGGCTATTCATGCCCGTGCCACCTCTTGGGTGGCTTCATCATCAATCAATCATAACAAACGTCACTATTACGACGGTTTAAATTGTACAAATACATCACATTTTTGACGAATTTGTTGATACCATAAAATTGACTGATTAGCCTAGTGCCATTAGGACAGCTCACCAAGGTAGAAGAGAATTTGGGCCTTGACACCAGGCACGGGAAGGGTGGAAGGGAGAGTGAGGGACAGGAGAGAGAGAGTGAGAGGAAGGGAGGGAGGGAAGGAAGGGAAAGGACTGTTGAGAGGGAAACATGACTTTTTTGTTTGGGAAGGTTCGGGGATCAGTCTCTTCCCCCCCCCCCCCCCCCCCCCCTCTCTCTCTCTCTCTCTCTCTCTCTCTCCTCTCTCTCTCTCTCTCTCTCTCTCTCTCTCTCTCTCTCTCCTCTCTCTCTCTCTCTCTCTCTCTCTCTCTCTCTCTCTCTCTCTCTCTCTCTCTCTCTCTCTCTCTCTCTCTCTCTCTCTCTCTCTCTCCTCTCTCTCTCTCTCTCTCTCTCTCTCTCTCTCTCTCTCTCTCCAACAAATATTTCCTTTTCTAAGAAATTCAAAATTGCTCAAAGTTTCCCTATAATGCAAGGCAAATTTCCCCTTCCAGCGAAGAAAAAATCAGATATTACCCAATTTAGAATTTTTCTTCTATCGCTATTACGTTAAATCCAGCCCCGATGTTAAGCCCACAATCCAAAATTTGTAGTTTTGAGTCTACGAAAATATTAAAAAGTTTTAAAACACAGCTTAGGGAAAGATATCTTCAAGGTAACTTAAAGATGTAGACTCCTTCTTTAGAGCTGTGACATTTTGGTTCGTAAGTTGCTTACCTTCGGTTGTACAGTCAAAATGTTTACCTCCCTAAGCTGAGGATAAAAAAATTTTTTCTAAATATTTAATATTGTATTTCTATGTAACCGAATATGATAACACACGAACAAAGGTAACTGCAGAAGGCCTATTGGTCCATACGAGGCAGCTCCTATTTATAACCACCCAATCCCACTCATAAACATGTCCAACCCACGCTTGAAACAATCGAGGGACCCCACCTCCACCACGTTACGCGGTAACTGGTTCCACAAATCAACAACCCTGTTATCGAACCAGTATTTAGAACACAGTTATCACCAGGACAAAAAAGGTAGTTATCAAGACATAGCACAAAGATAACATAAGAGTACAGCACTTGGAAGGGGCAGGGCATCAAGGATCTAGGATAGCAAGGTGCCCCAACCGCTTAAGACCGTCGGGGATCGAACACCGGCCTTGCAAGAAGCGAGTCCTTGGCTATATCAACCAATCCAAGTGGACAACCTAACCACTTTGGATGTTAATTCCT